ATAACACCAAGGCCACGGGTTCGGATCCTATATAGGGATGGCCGGTTTGCTCACTAGCTGAGCGTGGTGCTGACAACACCAAGCCAAGGGTTGAGATCCCCTTACCGGTCATCTTTTTTAAAAAAAAAAAGAAACGCGGCCAAGGATAGCGTCGGTGCAGCCGCACAAATGGGGGGACATGGTCTTTGTGGAACGCTGGGTTTGGGGCCTAGAGAAGGGGTTTCTCTGTCTGGACTCTGACAGGACTCTGTCGTACCTGCCGTCTCTTGGCTGGCCTCACTTTACACAGGACAACAATCAGGTGACATACACAGAGCAAGGACACGAGAACCATCAAGACCAGGAGTGGTCACTCTGGAGGGAGAGCTGGGGACAATGGGGGAAGGCCACATAGGCACTGGGTCCATTTTCTACTTTCTTTTTTTTTAAAAAAAAGATGACCAGTAAGGAGACTTTAACCCTTGATTTGGTGTTGTCAGCACCACACTCTCCCAAGTGAGCCGCGGGCCGGCCCTTACTTTCTACTTTCTTGACGTGGTTGGTAGTAATATAGGTCTTTGCTCTTTAATTATTTATTACAGGATCTTCTCTCTTCAGTTACTTATCGTAATGTACAGTTATGTTTATGTATTTTTATACACTTGCTCTGTGTGGGGGAAGCAAAGTGAAAAATGGCAGCAGGAACTGCTTGTGCTGAGCTTGGAAAGAGAAGGGATGGGGGAGACCTGCCCTGGACTGTGTTGTGGCCACGTCAGCTGAGGGCTCTGGGCTGCCCGAAGGGCAGATGGGGCCCAGCTGAAGAGGCAGTTCCAGATCAGCAACAAGCAACTAGCTACAAGGGGGGACTGGTAGGGGCAGGGGTCAGGGTCTCATCCCTGGAAATGGTCAGGCAGGAGATGAGGGGCCAGCTCTTAAAAGGCTTGTCAAGGATGGTCTAACCATACATGGAATATTACTCAGCCTTAAAAAGGAAGAAAATTCTGACATATGCTACAACATGAAGGAAACTTGAGGACACTATGCTCAGTGAAATAAGCCAGTCACAAAAGACCAAATACTATTTGATTCCACTTCTCTGAGGTATGTAGCATGGTCAGATTCTTAGAAACAGAAAGTAGAATAGCGGTTGCCAGGGGCTTGGGGTAGGGAGTTGGTGGTGAGTGTTTAATGGGGACAGAGTTTTACTTCTGCAACATAAAGAGGTCTGGAGATGGATGGTGGTGACGGTCACACATCATGAGTGTACGGTTGCCAGGGGCTTGGGGTAGGGAGTTGGTGGTGAGTGTTTAATGGGGACAGAGTTTCACTTCTGCAACATAAAGAGGTCTGGAGATGGATGGTGGTGACGGTCACACATCATGAGTGTACTTAACACTATTGAACTGTACACCTAAAAATGGTTAAGATGGTAAATTTTATGCTGTGTATATATTACCATAATGAAAAGTTGAAAAAAAAAAAGCTTGTTAGGGAAACCTCTGAGTTGTTTGGAAGGCTGAAGATGACCACTGCATTCCTGAGTGCAAGTCCAATCAACTGGCCTGGAGGTTGTGAGGACCCTGCAGGGCTCTTGAGGAAGGTGTGGGGGTCCCTCCCTAGGACTGTGCTTCCCTGGGGTGGCTGGGCAGTCCTAGGACTGCACAGCAGTGCCCCCAAACAACCTGGCACCCCTGTCCCTGACCCAGCAGGGCTCTGCAGGGTGGCAGGGGGCTCCTCAGGGATGGGCCCCCACTCACCTCTGCACTGTCTGGGAGGCCACAAGGAAGGACATGAGGTCTCCCCCTGTCAACTGCTGTCCAGCCACGAGGGAGCCCCCAATAAACAGGGTGCCCAGGACCATGCCTGCACAGAAGGGGGACAGGCGGTGAGGAAGGAAGTGGCTGGAGCGGAGGGACAAGCCCCGGCCCAAGCGTGTCCTGAGTCCTATCCTGCTCTGCCACCAGCTGACAGGGAAAGTTAGGCAAGTCACTTGAAAGGTCTCAGCCTCAGTTTCCTTGGCAGCCCTGCAGTACTCTACACGTGGCTCAGTTGGGACATCATACCACAGCCCCGCTGTGAACTGCACAAGTTGGCAGCGGGGCACTGGGCCATGAAGGCACTCGATAGGCATCTGAGGAGCACCGAGCAGAAGGAGACTGCCCCTCACCCCTCCCAGCCCCTCCTCAGCCCATGGACCCGGGCCCCCAGGGCGGGGACTTGCTCACTCACAGTTGAATGCGATGTTGGAAAGCCCCTGGAACAGAGCGATGCCCCTGCCCAACTCCTCTGCCTTGCAGCGGCATGCCTCCAGCTCAGCTCCGTAGCGTCTGGTGAGAGAGTCCGGGTCCAGTGCTCAGGGTGCAGCTGGGCTGCTGGGCAGGGCAGGTGGGGGGCGGGGGGATGGCCATACTTTGTGCCCCGTTCCCAGGACTCACTCCTCTTCCCGCTGCTCCATGGCGAAGGCGCGCACGGTCCGCACATTGCCCAGGGCCTCATCTGCTACGCCCGTTGCCCTGGCGATCTGCAGGGAGTGCAGGAAATGGGGGCCAGGTTGGCGACGGGGAGGACTGGTAATGGGGACAGCAGGCAGAGAGGAGCGGTAGCAGGTGGTGGGAGGGACCCCGAGAATGCTGCTACCTGTTCCTGACACTGGCGAGATAATTTTCGGAGACCTGAGCCCATCAGGGTGCCAACTCCCATCAGAGCAGGTGTGGCCACCATCAGTAGCAGCGTGAGGCGTGGGGACAGCATGGACAGAGACACCAGGCATCCAGCCACCTGGGTGCAGCTTCGCAGGCCCTGGGAAGGAAAGCAGCAGGCTACTTGTCATCAGCATCACAACCCAGGGGACTTTGCCAAGGGTCACCTCGCTACTGCTCTGCACTCATAAGGTCAAGGCCATAGGTCTGAGCCCTAGGGGGCCAAATGGCAGTCCACTGGTCATAGAACATAACCCTTTCTTGACCAGCCAGGGCACAACTGGCGCACATGAAGGGGTAAGTGAGAATGTCTACACAAGTCCCAGTTTGCTTCTCTTTCTGTTCTAGAACCTGAATAAAGAAGATGGCATGGGGGTACTGCCCAGTGACTGCTCTGGGCCAGAGTCTGGCATGATCCAGCAGCCACAGCGATGATGGGGGTGGAAAGGGGAGGCCATTAGCACACAGCAAAGAGCCATCATGCGTGCTCAGTGTGTCAGCGATCAGGGCACTCTGGGGACAAAGCAGGCCAGGTGATCTCGCTCTTGCGAGGAAAGGCTTTTGTCTGAGTCCTTGGAAAGGCTTTCTGGAGGAGGGAGGGTTTCTGAAGAGTGAAGCAGCAGCCTGTCCTGACCTTGGACACTACCTCAGTGCCTCCCTTCCATGAACTTCCGCGTTCCCTCACCCACACCCTCAGCAGACGGCAGGCGTCTGGTGGCAGCACGGGCCTTGGCTCCGGGCCCAACAGCAGGGCTGGGGCAGGGCAGGGCAGGCCTGGGGAGTCTGCACTGGGGAGTGTGTGTGTGTGTGTACAGGGGGGGCCCTGAGGCTACTGACCTGGGAGATGACAAGCTTGAAGGATGATTTAAACTCCTGCACATCAGTTGTCAATCGGCTCACCAGCTGCCCTGTCCTTTTAGCATCAAAGAAAGCAATGTCCTGTCTGGTGGTGGGACATGGCGCAGCAGGTGGGGGGAAAAAGGGAGACATGGCTTCAGGATGAGGCCTCACCCCCAGACCCTTACCCAGACCCTTGGGGCCCAGGAATCAGCCCTGCTGTGCACCCTGCAGGAGAAGTACCGGAGCAGGGAGCTGAAGAGGGCCCTCCGCATGTCCACGGCCATGCGCTCACCAACATGGGACAGCAGCACCAGGTACCCGAAGGTCAGTAGTCCCTGTGAGAGAGGCCAGTGCACTCAGGGATGCCCAGGGTGGCTCCTCTGTGTGCCACAGGCCCTCCCACCCTGCTGTACCTGGATGCCATAGAGGATAAGCAGGTGGGTGCCGAGACTCCGGGACTCTGTCATGAAGCTCCCCACATGGTCCCTTGTGTACTTGGCCACGATCTCTACCAGCTGGCCCAGGAGTAGGGGGATCTGAACATTCACCAGTGCGGCACCCAAGGCCAGCTGGAATGGGGGGTAGACAGAGAGGCAGATGTCCAGAGAGCGGGAGCCACACTCTTCTTATCCCCAGCTCTGACCTTGGCCCTTCCTCTTCCACTATGGAGCCTTGTTCTTGTTTATGCTGTGGCTGCTTGTGTGGACACACTAGTGCCTCTCTGAGTTAAAGCCCAGCCTTCCAGTCCCTGTGTACCCTCGCACCCTGCAAACCCAGCTGCCCTGTGCAGATTCTCCTGGTATCCCTTGGACCCCAGGTCCCCAGACCAGCCCTTGCTACTCCTACAAGGTCTCCTTTGAGACACAGTGAGGCAGGAATGCTGTTTCTGTGCAGCTCTGGCTCAGGGCTTCTGCAGATTCCTTCCTGGGTCCTTCCCTGTCCCCAGTATGGAGGAGCAGGGAAAGCCTCACCACGATGGCTACCCCCAGGACCAGCAGGTGGGGGCGCAGAAACTGCCAGAAGAGCTCCCAGTTAAAGTAGGAGTCCACGACATGGGGCCTGGCGTAGGCAGGAAGGGCCTCTTCTGCCTCACACAGGGCCACAAGGCAGAGGCGGGGACGCTTGCTCAGAACCACGGAGCCTAGCAGGGCTCCTCCAACCCAGCACCAGGCAGAGGGGCTCCGGCTGGGGGCTGGCAGGGCTCGAGGGAGGCAGGTCCGGAGCTGGGCCCGGAGCTGGGCCATGGCCTTGAGGAGGGAGGAGCTGTGGCGGCCATCAGAGTACCTGCAGGGAGAGAGTGAGCCATGAACCATGGCGCTCTGGCCGAGTCTTCTGGAGAGCAGCATCTTCTCTTTTTTTTTAAAATATAAAACGGAACTCGTGGCCTTGGTGTTATCAGCCCCACAGTCTCCCGAGTGAGCCATGGGCCAGCCCAGCATCTCCTCTTCTTTCAGGCTCGCCACCCTGCCTTGCTCAGGGCTGTTCTTAAGCAACTTCAGTGTCTAAGACAAATGTACACATGCAAAGTCACTGAGGAATGAGACAGCTGAGCACAGAATGAGGTTTTAAGCATTATCGCAGACAGCACCCAGCCAGCCAGGCCCTCTTGGCCTCCAGAGGCGCTGACCCCGAAGTCAGTGACGATCTCCAATTCACACTTGCATAATCCCAGCATGCCAGGGCTGGAGGATGGCTGGTCCACAGCACGGCTTTGGCAGACAGGGATGCAGGGGTCCTCAGCAAAGGAGGCTCAAGAGCTGGTGGGAGAGGCGAGTGCCTGTGCCCTGAGACTGCTCATGGTGCAGATGCGGCCTGCCTTACCAAGTGACAGCTATTCCCATGGGACATATGAACAAAATTACACAGAACTGAGAGCTGAAATAATCTGTCCACAAGCTGCAGAACTGGGACAAGAGGGGAACTCTGCTGTCTGATTCCAGAATCCAGCTTGTTCTCTGCCTTCTGTGACAAGCCCAAGACTATGTGTGGCAGGGCCAGGACTGGACCTGAGTCTTCTGACTTAGATGCCCCATCACCCTACATCCCTCCTAGCCTGGGGTGCCCTGTGTGACAACGCATGAGGGGAAAGGGTGACACGCTCCCTTGCTACTGGCTGAAGAAGGAAACAAACAAACAAAAATTCAAATACCTTGGGCCGGCCCGTGGCTCACTCAGGAGAGTGTGGTGCTGATAACACCAAGGCCACGGGTGAGGAAACAAACAAACAAAAATTCAAATACCTTGGGCCGGCCCGTGGCTCACTCGGGAGAGTGTGGTGCTGATAACACCAAGGCCACGGGTTTGGATCCCATATAGGGATGGCCGGTTTGCTCGCTGGGTGAGCGTGGTGCTGACAACACCAAGTCAAGGGTTAAGATCCCCTTACTGGTCATCTTTAAAAAAAAAAAAAAAAATTCGAATAACTTGTCTTAGGCTAAGTACCTTCATTTTCCCTTAGTTGCCATATCTATAAAATGGTAATGTAGGGCCGGCCCGGTGGCGCACTGGATAGTGCGCCGCTTGGGAAGCACGGCGGCGCTTCCGCCCGAGGGGTCGGATCCTACATACAGACCGGTTCCCGCTCACTGGCTGAGCGAGGTGCGGGAGCAACGCCAAGGGTTGCGATCCCGTTGCCGGTCCCCGGCCGGGTACGGGGGCAACACTGAGGGTTGCGATCCGTTGCCGGACACGGAAAAAGACAAAAGACAGAAAAAAAAAAAAAAAAAAAAAAAAAAAAAAAGGTAACGTAGACTCAACTGTTCAAGACATTTTGGAAGCTACTGTGTGCAGGTGCTGTGCTCGGAGGTGCAGGGCGTACTGAGGTGAACAAGACAGCCAAAGAAACTACCCTTGTGGTCACCACGCTCCAGCGCAGGAAGACAACTAGTTAACGGGGAATTGCAGGTACACTGAGAGCACGGAGCAGGAGCTCCTCTTCTCCAGGGGGTCAGCAAAGGCCTTCCAGATGAAGCCTGAGGGGGAACAGGAGCCAGCCAGGTGTGGGGGTGGGGGAGCTCTAAGCAGAGGGAAAGCATGCTTGAGTGTCTACAGTAAGAAAGGATGAAGACAAGTTTCAAGAACAGTATGGCTGAAGCCTGGCAAACAAGGCAGAGGAGACCTGAGGTGTGAGGAGGGGGCAGTCATTCCAGTCTGTGTAAAACACCCGGACTTGAGAGGGCAACAGGACCATTTGTGGTTCTGAGGCTGGGGTATGACATAATCAGATTTGCATTTTAAAGATCACAGCAAAGGGGAATAGCTGGAGGGGACAGGACTGGCCATAGGGAAGCCCATTAGAAGCACAAGTTATCTGGCTAAGAGGGTATGGTGGGATGCTCAAAGACCCAAATGAGATTAGTGATGGGAAGGGCTTAAAAAAAAAAAGCATACGGTGTGAATTTTTCCCTTTACCATCATGTTCTTTCATGTTCCCAGACCCTTCCAATTGCAGACTGCATCCCACCCTCCCCTTGCTTTTAGGGAAGCCTGTGCTTCTTGCTACCTCTGTATGACGCCTCCCCCCAACCCTTTCCCCCTACTTGGTTTTTATGTCTTGTTTTCCACTGTGTGCTTAGGTCTATTCTAAATCTTAGATAGAGATGCTCACTCTCCTTCTGCCCGGTGTAATTGTCCAATTTTCCCATTAGACTATGTGTTCCTGAAAGGCAGGAAGCTATATCTTTTGTTTGCTGCACTTAGCAGAGCTCTGTTACATAATATTATGTTCAGCAAATGTTTATGTTTGTTGAGCACACACATGGCCTTATTAGAGAGGCAGAACAATCTGACCTGACTACTGCAGTGTTTTGCAAATGGTAAGACCTTCTCGCCAGCAGCAAGAAATACATTTTACACTGCAACCCAGTACAACAAACATATATATGCCACACCAACTTAAAATACTTCACAAAACAATACTTCCCTCAATTTTTAACAAACGTTCTGATATTTTCTATTATATTCACTTTCACATGGTCCTGACCCACTGAATTCATTTCATGATCTACTCAAAAACACTGACTAATGAGAGCACATATACTCGAATATTATTTGATGTCTTTCTCTTCGTTTCTCTCTGGTTTAAATAATATCAACATCCTTACTCTTTCCTGAGGACTGTTTTCAAAACCTTTTAATAATTTACCATGGCCACTTTCCAGCTTTTCTCATCTTCTCCAAACTGAGAGTCTACGAATGGCGTGGTCATTGCCAAGAACTGGCGGATTCCTTGCCAGCACCAGTAAGTCTAGCTCCAGCGGGCCCCGGCTCTTGCACTCCATCAATCAGATGGACTTTCCAAACGACACGTCTCCAGATCCACCCGCCCTTGGGAATCTTTTGCCTGTTCGGCCCTCAGGTCATATGCTCTAGCCTTGGAAGAAAATAAGCCCCTTCTCATACAGCATTTACATTCGAGTTGTTGTTTCAGGGTCCTTGTCTGTTTTCCACCTGTCTGTCTCTCTGGACCAAGGTTTGCAGTCCTTCGCCAAGAACAAACATACACGAGTTATTAGATTGACTCTTTATCCCTGCTGAACGTCTCCAGCTCCAGGAACCATGTTTGTTCCGCTCACTTTGAATCCTGGGAGCACCACAGATACTAGATGTCTCTCAACACTAATAATTTTTGTCCAAACCTCCGGATCGATTCTAAGAGGGAAGACGAAAGCCGGGAATGGCGCCCCCTGGTGGGCAGTGAGGCCTGGGCGTGGTCACTGACACTGAGTGTCCCCACCGTCAAGCCTACACACGGACACAGACGCGCTGAGCCTCCTGCTGGCACCTGGACCGTCACTATAAATAACTGAGGCCAGTTCCCCGGGGGGTGACATTCCAACCCGGGCCGGGCTGGCCTACAACTCCCAGCAGGCCCCGCGCGAGCCTGGGGACTCCATCTCCCGGCAGGCCCGGCAATGACCTGCCGGCCGGTCAATGGTCCGCACTCCTAGTAGGTTTGTCCCTGTTTACCTGACGGCCGAGAAAGTCTGGAAGCGGAGAGGTAGTAGCGGCCTGCCTGGGACAGGGCCTCCCCGAATCCCGACCCGAAATAAGTGCACCAACATGCTGGGGCGGGAAAACAGGAGCAGCCGGCAACGACAGCTTCACCCTCATCCCACTGAGGGCTCCATATTGGCTCCGACACCCATCCCGACAACCCCTTCGCGCCTCGGCGGTGATTGGTGGAAAGACCCATCAATCTCGTTGCTAGCTGTGATTGGAGAAAATGGTGTCAGTCCTCTTCCTTCCGAAGCTGTGATTGGGGAGAGTCATCTACCCGCCCGTCCCCAGCTCTGGGCGGGGCCGATCCGGAAGGGACATTTCCTTCCGCCGGTGTCGTAGTCGAATCGGGGTGACGTTTTGAGGGTGTGCGCTGTCTGTGCCCCCCCCCCCCGGGGTATCTATAGTAACATTGACCCCTAGGTTATTTTCTTAAGGGTACTCCCGACGGTCTCAAGGTGTCCTGGGGTCTCTAGGGAGCGTAGAGCGCTGGCTCTGGGAGAGAAGTGAGCAGCAATCGACTGGGAGTTCATCAAAACACGCGCACGTACCTGGCCACCGCCCCTCTTTCCCAGGCGTGTCAGAGCTCCTGGGCAGCCACGTGTATTTGCGGAAAAACTCCTCTGGTGATTCTAATACTTTCTTGCCCCACTCCTCAACTATTGCGAACTACTGGTATGGAGGTCCTGTAGCTTCTCAAGGCGCGACCTCAGACCGGTCTCCTCCATAGATTGCCTCCTCACCCTGGTCAGGAGGACATGCCCGAGGCTCCTACCAAACAGCGAACAGCGCTGGCACCTCTATTTGGAGCTTCTTTTTTCCCAGTAATTATTTGTTTGCATGTCTGTCTTCCTCCCTGGGCTGTGACTTCTTGTTGAGTAGTGGTTCTGCTTAATTCATCTCTCCCCTTCCTCTCCAAATGCGTGGCAGGGAAAAGTGCCCTTTATAATAAATTGACTTGAATCGGAGGTGGTGGTAGAGAAGCTGTTCGTGGATGAATCTAGGTGGAACTGGGTAGGAAAATGTGCCAGGATTAGTCTGAGGTTGGGCTGGGGAGCTCAGGTGCATGGGGAAGGGTCCTAATGTGAGTTTGGTGGAATAGCCATGACATGGAGTGAGTGATATTGGGTGAGTGAGGTGGGAGAGACTAGACAAAATCCCATATAACCCATCTTGACAGATGTCTCAGAAAGATCACGGGAATTTCCTGGCTCCTTTACAACGTGGGATTCCTTTTTGCCACCTATAGAAGGGCTGGGTCTTGTTTTCATAGTTCTCTGTCCTGCTCAGGGATAAAGGTATGTAAGACCTGAGCTACTATGACCATTCCCCTCCCAGAAAGGAGGCACAGAAGGAGAAAAGCAGGCATATCTGGACTCAAGTCTTGTGGGTAATTCCGTGATTGCTTTCACATTCCTCTAATGAACAATTTGGAAGCACTGTGTTCCTCTCTCCATTTTATGGATACTGGCCCCTACATCAGCCCTTGGGCCTGAGCCCTGGAGGTTCTGACACCTGGTGGCTGAATCAGCACCTCAGGAATGGGCTTCCGTAGGAAACCTGGTGATTCAGGGCCTCAAGAATGGCGTTGGGCAAGCCACCACACCAGCTGCCCTTGTCTCCTCCTCCTTGTTGAGGCAACAACAAGGAAGTCAACTCAGGTACCCAAATTATCCTTCCAAATCCTGAACCCCAAGCTACCCTCCAGTGCCAGTTCAGCCCTGATGGTTCTCAGGAGGCCCCAGAAACTGGAATTTCTGGAGGCGAGGGGGTGTCAGGGTTCAAGAGGGTAAGGAAGTAAACATGGTGGAACTGTCAAGGAACTTGACTTTTCTAGTTTAAGCTCCCAAACCATGTTTCAAATCCAAAATAGCTGCCTTTCCTTTCTTCACTTCCCTCCTCTGCTCACTTTACCCCAACCTGGCTGCAAAGTCAGGCAGTGTCCCCTCTTCCCTTCCTCAGCACCCTTAGACGAAAGAAACGTGCAGCCTTTTCTTTTTCTTTCCTTTTTGGCCTTAAAGCATTTCCCTGTTGATTGCTGTGTGTTTGTGTGGAGGGACAGGGGTAAGATTTTAAGAAATGAAAGACTTAACATCTTGGGCCCAAGATACAGCAACCCTTTAATAGGGTTTTGCTTTTTGTTTTTATTTGCCTGTCATTCTCTTCTCTTTATCTTTAATTCACTCAAGATCCAAAGATGGAGACAATAGGTATCTCCTCTTGTCTCAATGTGTCCCTGCCTCTTAAACTGATGCCACTCCCACGGGCCCTGGGAGGTTTGGCCCCAGGTTGCCCTGTCAGGGGTGTGAGTGATCAGACAGGTGACTCCGAGCTGGGACGCCTAAGGCCTGCCTGGCCTGAGTCACCTAGTGTTGTTATTGTCATTGTTCTTGTTGAAGTCCCAGCTCAGCTCCACAGACCTCTGTGGAAACAGCAACAGCTCCCATCTTTCCAACCTTCTGGAGAAGCCACAGCCCGATGGTGAGCCGAATGGGCTGGGGGGGAGGCAGGGGGCGGCGTAATAACTTCGTATAGCATACATTATACGAAGTTATACGATTCAAGACATTTTGTAAAACTGAATTTTGGGGTGCTTCCTGTTTATTAGAAAGTGAATAAGACTAACCACCAAATAGCCGCATATCAGTGTTATTCGACCTATCTTGTCAGGAGACACTTAAATTTTCGTAGATGTGGAAGTTTAAAGTTTGGCTCTCCACTGAGTTTGTGCTTCCAGATAATAACTCTTTTTCTCCGTTGGCCTCACTGATGTGAAAATGGAAGTAAGTTTACTGGAAACGGGCGGCTGGGGCGATGGGGAGACCTGGGGCCAGGATCCGTGCCCCTCCTCCCCACGCCACTGCCGCCTCTTCCTCCTCCTCCGTGCCGGGGACCTGGGGGCGGGAGGATCTCCATCTTCTCTCTGTCCTCTGCTCCTCACACCAGAAGCTCCCCCTCCTTATCTTTCCCTTCCACCCTGGGGCCCCCCTGCCCAGTGCTGCAGGGGACAGGAGCATCTCAGTCTAGCCATAGTGCCCTCCCCACCCCAGCCACCCTCCGAACACAGGCACGGCCCACAACAACACCCACCTCTGATTCCCCCTCCTGGGGATCCCACTCCACCCCACCCCTGGCCTCGGTGACTCCCCCTCCCTCACGCCGATGCCCCCAGGACCCTCCTGGGCTGCGGATAGGCCCTCTGATCCCCGAGCAGGATTATGAGCGGCTGGAAGACTGTGACCCCGAGGGGTCCCAAGACTCACCCCTCCATGGGGAGGAGCAGCAACCCCTGCTTCATGTGCCTGAAGGGCTCCTGGGTGAGTGTGTATGTGTGTGGGGGTCGGGTTGGGAGTCAGGTGGCAGGGGCTAGGAGTTCCAGGGCTTACTCCAGGCTGGGCCTCTGGCAGCAGGTCAAAGGCATGGAGAACTGATGGCTCAAGTGAGAGCGCCAAGTTCCGACACTTTCCCTTCTGTGCCCAGGCTCCTGGCATCACATCCAGAACCTGGACAGCTTCTTCACCAAGATATCCTTTGTACTCAGCCTAGCAGAGGTGGTGCGGTTATTGGCAGGGAGACTCTGCGAGGGTGTTGTGAGTCGGGGGACTTGTTGGGAGGAGAGAGGGAGGCATCCTCAGGAAAGGCCCATCATGCCTCAGGCTTATTTCTTGACACACCTGCCACATCTACAGCTACCACCAGCGGAATGGCTTTGCCTGTATCCTGCTGGAGGATGTCTTCCAGCTGGGGTGAGATGCTTATCCCAGACCTGGACCGCTGTCCACTGGACCCGTGGGCCTGTCCTCTCCTGCTTCCTTAATAGTGTTAGCTGCTTCTGGTCCATGCAACCTTCCCAGCAGCCCGGGGAAGGGCTCAGAAGGGTTGGGAGGGCGAGCTAGGCTTGTCTGGGGCTGGGGCAGGAGCCTGTGTGGACCTCAGGGCTGATCACTGCTACATCCCTGCACCAGACAGTTCATTTTCATCGTCACCTTCACAACCTTCCTCCTTCGATGTGTGGATTATAACATTCTCTTCGCCAACCAGCCAAATAACCGTACAAGACCTGGGCCCTTCCACAGCAAAGTGACCTTGTCGGATGCCATCCTACCCTCGGCCCAGTGTGCCGACAGGTGAGTGACAGCCTGGTGGGGCCCTGGGGGTGAGGCACACATGCAGGGAGAGGAGACAGGGCCCCCCCTTCCTTCCTCCCTTGGTCTACATCAGAGGTTCTCAAGGCTTTTGGTCTCAGGACCAAGATACAGTTAAAATTAGCTGAGAACTTCAAAGAGCTTTTGTTTATGAAAGTCATATCTATATTTATCTTGTTAGAAATTAATGCTGAGAACAACTTTAAAACCAAAGAATGCGCAAGCACACATTCCATCAGCTGTCAGTGCAATATGACATCTTCATGAATCTTGTGGCCTCTGGATAACTTCAATGCACACTCATGAGAGCAGGAGAATTAAAACAGCAGAAAGCATTAGTATTGTTTGAAATAAGTTTTGACTTTGCTGACACTTGTGAGGGCCTCTTCGGGGACCCCTTCCCTGGACCTCACTTTGAGAACTGCTGCTCTGGCTGGCTGCCCTCTCTCCGTTTTCCACTTCTTCTGAAGCCTGGTCTCCCTCTCTCTTGGCCTCCCACCTTTCTCCACCACTGCCTCTCCAACCCCATACAGGATTCGCTCCAGTCCCCTGCTGGTCTTCCTCCTGGTCCTGGCTGCAGGTTTCTGGCTGTTCCAGCTGCTTCGCTCCGTCTGCAACCTCTTCAGCTACTGGGACATCAAAGTGTTCTACAGGGACGCACTGCACATCCCCCCGGTGAGCTGGGCAGGTGTGTCTGTGGGAGGGGTGTCATGACAGGGCAAGCAGAGAGGAGTGGGCTATACAGATGGCAGGAGTGCAGAAAGAGCAAGGCCCGATGGACACCTGCCCCTGGCCCGGAAGAATGGCAGTGGGGCACCACTGCTAGAAAGCATGGTCCTACCCTAATGCAGCTTTGTTTATTTAGATGGGTCATATGGGATGACTTATAGTCATCTGATTGTGATGAAAATAATGGGTGTTTAGAGGAAGGGCTGTCATCTGGCTTTCCAGAGCAGAAGGAATTTGGGCTGGGCTTGGAAGGACAGGACAGAAGTGGGGAGGGCCTCCTGAGCGCTGGTGAGGACGGTGGGGGAAGTAATGAGTGTCTGTAGGCTGCAGTGTGGAGATGGACCTACTGGCCTCACACCGAGCCCCCCATTGCAGGGAGCTACTGCGCTGGCCTCAGCACTGTCCTCTGGTCACACTCTGCCCTTTCTTTCCTCCCCATCCTGCTCCTGCTCCTTCCTGCTCTGTTCCTAAGTTCTTTCTTTAAGGCACAGCTCAGAGGTTACCTTCTGCAGCCTTTGAGTTCAGCCATTCAGTTAAAGTAATACTGGTTGTACTTCCCCTAGTATTTTTAGGTAAGTACATACAGAAGGAGGATTTTCAGGGTTCATTGGTTTTTCATCTTCCTGGGATGAAAAGTATCTTCTCAGGCTTCCTTGCTCCCCTTAGAAGTACAGAGCCTTTTACACAGTTCTCCTGCACAGCCAGGGGAGAGATTCTAGAAGGCCCATGAGCAGGGGAGCACCGGGCACAGAGCAGGGAGGAGTCAGGGGGCCAGCCACGCAGAGACGGGAGAGCGGGAGTCTGACTGTGCTCCCCAGGAGGCTGCTGACCCTTTCTCTCCCCACCTCCCGTCTTTCCCCTCCTCTCCCATTCCTTCCAGGGGAAGGGGAGACTCTGGGATGAACTGGAGAGGCTGGCCCGGAGGGACTTGACTAATCTGGACTGGGGAAGCTGGGTGAAACTGGGCTAAAATGAGGTTCGCAGCCCTCCAAGAGAGATCTGACAGTGCCCTCACCCCCAGACATGGACACAGCCAGGGGCTGGGGAGGCTAATCTGGGGATAGAACACAAGATGGCTTGGAGAGGGGTGGGGCTGGGGGTCTCAAAGCATGCCCAGGCAGAAGGTGAGGGTTCTGACCCAGAGCTGGCGGGCATACTGGAAACAAGGAGGAGCGATTCCCTCCTTGAGCTGCCCGCCATTCTGTCTTTTATGTGTGCAAATGAGGGGCTTCAGAAAAGCCTGCTCTTGAGAAGCCAGGTCCTACACCTGAAAAAGAGTTTACTAAAGAGGCATCACTAAGAAGAACATGACTAGTGGCCACATGACTGGCCAGGATGATGAGGAACAGCAATTCAGGAGACGGTGGAAGGAAGTAGGAAGGGCCTGGGTTAGTGACAGGATTAGGGGAGGACAGAAAGTGGCACGTAGCTTTGGTCATGGTGAGTGTATTAGTCCGTTTGTGTTGCTATAACAGAAATACCTGAGACTGGGTAATTTATAAAGGAAAGAGGTTTATTTGGCTCACGATTCTGGGACAGCTGCATCTGGCATGGGCCTCAGGCTGCTTCTACTCATGGTGGAAAGTGGCAGGAAGCCTGCAGGTACAAGCAGATCACAAGGGGGGAGGAAGCAAGAGAGAGAGAGAGAGGAGGTGCCAGGGGCTATAAACAACGAGCTCTCGCGGGAACTAAGGAGAGGAAGCAAGAGAGAGAGAGAGAGAGGAGGTGCCAGGGGCTATAAACAACGAGCTCTCGCGGGAACTAAGGAGCGAGAACTCACTCATTACTCCCCCTCCCCCAGGGAGAGCATTAATCCATTCATGAGGGATCCGCCCCCATGACTCAATCAGTCTCCAACACTGCCACATTGGAGATCAAATTTCCACATGAGTTTTGGGAAAACAACACATCCAAACTCCATTAGTGGAGTATGTGGCAGTTTTTAGGCAGGTCATTTGGGGGTGTGCAGCTTGGCCATCACTGCGAGAGGAATCAGGGTCACTGGCGCTCACCGATGCCCCTCCCTTTAGGAGGAGCTCAGCTCGGTGCCCTGGGCAGAGGTGCAGTCCCGCCTCCTGGCGCTGCAGAGGAGCGGGGGGCTGTGTGTGCAGCCGCGGCCCCTGACGGAGCTGGATGTCCACCACCGCATCCTGCGCTACACCAACTACCAGGTAGCGCTGGCCAACAAGGGGCTGCTGCCGGCCCGCTGCCCGCTGCCCTGGGGAGGCGGTGCGGCCTTCCTCAGCCGCGGCCTGGCGCTCAACATCGACCTGCTCCTCTTCCGCGGCCCCTTCTCACTCTTCCGCGGGGGCTGGGAGCTACCCGACGCCTACAAGCGCAGCGACCAGCGGGGCGCCCTGGCCGCGCGCTGGGGCCGCACGGTGCTGCTGCTGGCCGCCGTGAACCTGGCGCTGAGCCCGCTGGTGCTGGCCTGGCAGGTGCTGCACGCCTTCTACAGCCACGTGGAGCTGCTGAGGCGCGAGCCCGGCGCGCTGGGGGCGCGCCGCT